GAGTATTTCAAGAGGACCTTCAGGATCGTCCCTCAAAACCGCCGTCCTCAAGGTGGAGCTATTTATATTTCTCACAGTTAAGACGGATGAAAATAGAAAATCCTTTAGGAGTATTACATGCCGCTGAATATTCAGGAGCCTGCGCTTTGTTTTATGGGACGGGAGGGATTTCGCATGCACACAGTGCAAAATACGCGGTTTAGTTCGTGCAGTTGATCGTATGGCCTCACTAAATCTTACCGGCTAAGCACAAAACTCCGCTTGATCCTGTTCCCGGTTTAGACCGTATAAACGCCGCAATTTCTCTTCCTGTTATTATTGCAAGAGCTTCATTGATCGCTGCGTTAATTAAATACTTAAACTGAGTCTGAGATAATCTAACAGAAAAGTACATGATTTTTTTAAAAGAGACATGTGCGTTTAAATGATAAATAAAAAAAAGAGAGAATACGATTTTTTTTAAAGAGCCATTTGCGTTGAAAAAAAGACGATAATGCCTAATCTACAATACCTAATGCACTGCTTCCTGTTTTTACCTTTTACTTTTTTGTTTCTTCGTTTTTGTTCAAGATAAAAGTTGACAAACTTCGGAAAGATTAAAAAAAGCATGTGACAAGGATTGTTAATAAAACAATCGCAAAGAGGGAAAAAGGCAAGAGGTAAAAGCAAGAAATAGAAAACAAAGAGCATATTGTAGATCAAGCTTAAATAATAATAAAAAAGAATACACGATTTTTCAAAAATATAAATAAAATGCCTATATGAGCCTCCGCAATTGTTAGTGCGTAAATAATGTATTTATAAGGCGATAAGATATAATTTGCAAAAATTGGATTGTACTTAACAGCAAAGTTAACTATAAATATTTCTCCTCTACAGTTCAATTATCTTCAGTAAAGATGTATCGTAAAATTGTCGGATACCAGATATCGGATATCCGAAAAGAATGCTGACACCTGATATCTGATAGGGCAATTATCCGGCCGGATACCAGATATTTTTCGAATATCCGCGCGATACAATTTCTCCATTCTATTAAAAAAAAAAGGAAAGCAAAAAAATAACGATAATAATTTTCTTTATTTCCCTAATGTGAAAAAGAAGAAAAATGAACTGTGCAAAAAATTTAGCTGAAAAAAATAGAATTCTGTATCAATAACGTGAACTTTCAATATAAAATTTCAGCCGGATATACATATATAATATATTGCCGATACTAATGATATTCAGCTATTTGATAAAATAGTAAAAAAAGGGTCAAATAAGGTCAAACATTGGAACTTCCCGGATACGGTATATCTCTAATCTTTAGTAAGAAAATGAAGTATGAACTATAATGTACTTTTTTGTATTTGACTTGTAGTTTGACATCTGCATTGAAGAAACATTTGCAGTTAACTTTATTAGTAAGTATATTCCAATTGTTTGCGAATGATGTTTTATAGTCCTATAAATACATATATTATTTATTACACATTTTAACAACCGCGAAGACTCGTTTGATTCATATTTGATTTGTTCTTATAGTCACAAAACTATTTTTATTTTAATACAATTTTTTTTTAAAAGCCTTTTGGCTGTAAACGATAAAAATAATAATATTTCATACGCCAAGAGATAATAAAATCGATGCGGATAAAGTTGTTAAGAAGGTTCAAAAGATGCGACCGACTTACGTCGTCTTCGAGATAAGATAAAGAATTGTATATAATCAATTGAAAGCGTCATATTTATCTATCAATGATCGATAGAACGTCTCGATAAGCGATGCACAATTTCGCAAGCATTACACCCTGGAGATATTCATCCCTTCCGATCGCACGAGACCTTGACTGTCGATTTTTCTTCAAACTAAATGGGCTACGCGCGTCCTCGTCGATACTTAATTTACCGGATATGGATCGGTCTCGGAAGACTTACGGCATATCGATCACGTAATATGATGCACGATACGCCATTGATCGCCCGCACGTCGAGGCAATTTAGAGATGATATACAACCCCGCCAAAAAAGGTGACCTTTTTTTAGCGCTTATATGCGTGAAAATGCCAAGTGTCGAGAAATGCGATAGCGACGGTTCCTTCTCGTTTAACATCGTCAAACTCGGCTCGTTTATCGTTATAAGTCACGCGCGCCCTACGGCATACGTGCAGAGTGAAATTGCGTTGCAGTCGCATTGCGTGGCGCATCAGGAACCCACGGTCCTGTTTGTCTGCACATACGGACCGGTCGAGCTGTTGGGAATAGGTGTAGGTATATCGATTTCAGCGGGGGTCGGAGGAGAGCCGGAAGATCGTCCATCCTGCACACGAGCCGGTGGAGTTAGAAGCGGGACTTCCCAGGGCCGTAACGTATGGCCGGTGCTCACCCCTGCGTACGGCCGGTGGTGGATGACCTTGACCTACGGGGTTCCTGCCGCGCCGGCGTCGCGTCCTCTCGTCCCCTTCCTCACGTAGCCGCGTCCTCGTCTTACCTTGGTCGCCCCTCCTCTCATCCCTCTATTCGATTTATCTCGCTCCACCTGTGACCAACGGTGCATCTGATCCGATATCTCCTGCATCGCGATAGTCTAGCGACCTCGGGGATGCACTCGGTTATTGAAGTCGATGGACTGGGAAATCAGAGGCGCCGACGGCGAGCTACACTCGATCGTGTGCGTACGACGTGTTGCCGAGACTACAGGGACACGTCTTCGCAAGGTTCTTCGAATCTCCCGAAGGATCTGGGAATAAAACCTTTTTGTTGTATTGCAATGTATAAGAGATAGACAGGGTAGTTAGAAGACATAAAAGATCCCATTGTCGCACCCTTCTCCTCATCCGTCACCGCGTATGTTTTCTTCTTTTTCTAATTCGTTTTCCGTGTTTTTTCCCTTCAGCCTCGTCTAGTGCACCCTCCGAACGATCCCATCCTGCGGAACCATTTGTTGCTGAACGTTCTCGGCTCGTCGAGGGTGAATCCCCTCTTTTCGAAATTCATATTGTCCTCCCACAATCCTCCCGTGTTCTCACGATTATCTATTTTTCTTCTCGAAGTAGCGCAATCACGTTCTTCCCATACACCACCAGCTTCTCCATTCCTACCCGTATTCCCGACAATACTGATGGCGAATGTATCTCGACAGATGCATTATTCTATACCTTTATCTAACACTCTTTATCGGCTCTCTCGAGCTTTTTCCGTGACATAATAAATTACGTCTGTCTATCCCGACCACAACCGCCATGTGTTTATTTTTCCAGTGTTTCATTAGCTCTTTCATATTTTGTTCCACACGTTTCATTTCTGAATGCTCCCCATTTTCACGTTAATTTCGCCGCGTTGTCAGCGGACAGGACATCGAAGAGCGACGACTGGTACAGAACAGTATTTGCAGACTTTTGTGTAAATATCTCTTTTCTCTCTCTCTCTCTCTCTCTCTCTCTCCCTCTCTCTCAATTTATCAGGATGAAGCTTGCTTGTACCGGAAGGAGATATTTTTAAACTTGTGCCCCAAATTTTGAAGGTCTTCGATATGTCGTTGTGTCCTCCAGATGTCAACCTTGACAGTTTTCTCGAGTCAATCTTTCAATTTTTGACGTATCAATAACACTCTTTTGTATCTTCACTGTTTCATCGTTATTATTTATTTACTTGATTTTATCTGTATATTTACTGTATACTTGCCTTCAATAAAAGATAAAAACTTTCCTTTTATGCTTAAAATAATTTATAAAAAGTAAGTTTGACAACTTTGTATTTTCATCCTGAGCCTAGAGTCGCATCTCACGATTTAAGGCATGTCGTTCTTTTCGCTGTTATTTGGAGATTTCTATTAAATATGATTTAATTCTTGTTGTCTTTCGATTTTAGCGTTATTTTTATTTTTTCTTGCTGTACGATTCAATCCATACGTTTCTTAAAACTTGAGTCACATGCTAGATAAAATAATTACTTCTTGACAATAATGATCGAAATTTGTCATTATTGTGTCATTATTGTATATGTATTTAAAATATATTTATACTATCACATCGAAATATCTAAATAAATATTAATCCAGAATGAATATACTAAAATTACAACAATTAATGGATTATTCGTATTTCCATATGTTATGAAAGACGCAATTAGTTTAATTAGCAAAATGTAATTGGAACGTAGCAGATGCTGTGGATTAACAATCAATTGCAATGGCTGCTACGGGAGAGCAACCAATAACATTTGTTCGATTCACCAACAGAAAATAAAACTAAACCCATTAGACTTTATTAAACTCATATTTCGATATATTGAAACGATTTCTAACTTTAAACTTCTAATAATTTCTAACTTTAGACTTCTACTAATGGATACATTTTAAAACCATTATCTTGACATTATTATTTTTCTTTCTTAATTAACATGATCTTTTTTATTTTAATGTAATTATCAAGATAATTAAAAAGTTAATAGCAGTAGCGTAAAAAGTCTTACGTAGCTTAAGGGAAATTAACTTGAATCTCAGCAATTTAATTAAAATCTCTGCGTGTGCATGAATAATTTGAAAGAATGAAAGAATGTAGCGAGTGCAGAGTGCAAAGTTTATTTTTGATTACGCGTAACGCTCATATTTGTCGCGCAAGAGAAAATTTATTAGAAAATAAAATTTACTCGACGCGACAGTTACGCATTCAGTACAATGAAATAATAAACAAGAGAAATGGAGACAAAGAGTTTTTTCCTTTCACCCCCTAAAAGGGAGGTTTCTGAAAAATTTAACCTGTCGTCAAACCACATCCGAGCTCTCCCACCTGCCAATGTCGGCTCATCAGCTCGTGAGTCCGATAAGCGTCGGCCTACCACTACTCTCACCCTCGACCGGCTCAGCGAAAACAACCCCCTCTCATCTGTCCTCCGCCGCCTGGTTTTCTACCCCTTCCCGTACTGTTGCCGCCGGACCACTGGCAATCCCCGCGGGGCGAAGCACACGGTTCTGCCGCACGCGCGGCCGGATCCAGTCGCACTTCGAACCCCGAGAAGATCGAGCGTACCGAGAGAGCACCCGTCATAATCCTGGACCACGTAAACCGACGTCTCGGAGGATCGTGCCGGGATCTTCTGGCATGCGATCAGGAGCATGCAGGTAGGATCCTCCCTGCCGTCGACGGCCGACGCGCCGCGCACCCCGTTCCTCCAAGTGAATACGTAAACTCTCGCACGCGTTCGTTGATCCCTTCTCGATTTCATTTTAACACGATCATAATTTATAGAAAACGATTTTTGAACGTGGAATATAAATGTAAATGAGTTCCTTGGTCTATCGATCAAACGGGTTATTAAGCGCTATTGAAAGGAGTGATCTAATTCTTTGTGCGATCGATATTTGAAATTATTTCACGATGTTGTCATATAATATTCTGTAGGATTGGTCGGTATATAAACTGCTCTCAGTTACTTATGCCCATTTTTATCAATTTAGATTAACTTTCCAAGTAGAACACAGAAATCGGAATAATATCATAACGACATTATCATGACTTTATTTGTCACTTATAAGTTCATCAATTAAATATCAAATGACGTCATGATGATGTCCTATGATATCATTATGACTTAATTACGACTGTATGTTTTACCTGAGTTTAACTCTTGATTTTATTTTTTTTTATTTTGTTTTAATTTTAAGAATTAATGGAATTAAGGAATAAATTAAAGAGATTAAAGTTCATCTACATTGACATAATATAGAAATAGTCTTTAAACCCCGAAATTGAAATATCAATAGATTCTTGATTGAGAATCCGTCGCGTTCTTTAACGAAAGTCAGCTATGCAAGAAGCATACAGGTGGGTCGGGGAGAATGTTCTAAGCGATCTGTAAACCGCAGCTATTTCAACGCAAACATTTGATATCGTAGGAAACGAGTCAATAACCTTGTTGCTAAAATAAACGGAATATATTTAAATATTTTTTTATCATATCTGTATATTTTTTGCAAATCCATTGTCTTTGTATTTGTATAATTTTTTGCAATTTTTACAGTAAATGTGCGTTTTGCAAAATGAACTTATCTCGCTATATTCTGGCTCTTTTTCACTTCTGTACATTTCTGAAATGTATTTTACAACATTGAATTAGATTACACTGATTGTGAGATGTGACTGCTACGAAAACTTGTTGAATTCAGTTTACAAGCAGCATTCTGCACTCTAACACTAGCGGAAGATTAATGTAACAAACATACGGCAGACGGTTTTATATTTTGTATGAGAAATTCTTCCTTTGACCCTTTTATTTTATATTACTTAACAGCGCTTTTGTCGAGTTTTTTCATTCTCCCATTTTTAAAATTTCGTAATCAACATACTGTGTAAAATTATAAAATATAGCTAAATTATGAAGCTAAAATAAGTTATATATGTCTTCTAAGTTATTATGTCTAATATTTCATAAAATATTTATGTTGAAGTGGGAGATTTAACTCCATTATGATAATTAAATAGCTAGACAGGCTCAATATGTCGGAGATCGCGAGATCATGAGTCCACTCTGTTTCTCGAAACTGTTTTCATACGCGATAACGGTGCGAAAAACATTGGAAAGTTTAATGGTTCCGAGCAAAAGTCTTTTCATTCAGTCGAGACAGGCATCATGCCAGGAAACGGTCTCCGCCTTTTTTCTTGCCCTCATCGACCGCCGACGCGTGCCAAGGCCAAACAAGAAGACGAGATCTTAGAGTCATGGTCACGAACAAGCACATGTCTCTTTATGCAGTTAAATGAATCGGTACACTCCACCCTGGTATTATTAAATCACCCTTTTGTGTTTCCAATCGATTAGCTATCCTTACAATTCATTTTTAATGACCTTTCAAACCTTAGGCAGAATCTCACAAAGGAGTATATTACATTAAAATTGTATTAGTTTCCTCCCCACGTAGAAAGTTGGATTGAATAGGCAAGACAAACTATGGGATCGCTATTTAAACCTATTCACGAAAACTGACATACATACACACGAGAGACACGATATTTTTGCAAGAGTATCATAAATCATGGGAGTCATAAAATGTGAGGGTCATAAAATATGGTGAATATCATAAAATGTGGTGAATATCATAAAATGTGGGGGAACGAAAGTTTCGGATGGCGACGTTTTCAAACAGAGTAGACTTTTCATCTCGCAATCTCACGAATTTCTGACAAATTAATCCTGCCTAATCATTTATAATTACCGCAATAAATTTTCGACTTCTCTCTCTCTCAACACAAATATATTTTTTATAAATATTAAAAAGAAGAAATGTAATTTATTTTAGCTCGATAACTTTGTTATATTTTAAAGTACACGATATTTTTATTGTCGCGTACATGGCTGTTAGATTAAATACATTCGGGAAAATGCATTACGAGATTTGTGCAGCGGAGTTTCTCGACACAAGAAGCACGACACAATTTACTTTAACTTTCTGCGAAATTGTTTGACTTTAGGAGTGATTTTTGAAGTTTGATAACTTCTGTTTGCAAGATTTGTTCGAACGTAAAAATTCGCCACATCTTAAGTGGGCTACGCTCATTTCGTCGGATCAGTGACGTATGCTCTCAATTGCAAATCTTTCGACTCCTCGTCGATTTCAAATTAATTGAAGTCGAATATGAAAGGAAGAGCTTTTTCCGAGAGACATACTCTCGTAGTTGTTCCTCACGCGTATAATCTTTTGCGCGCTCTTTCGCATGGTTTTCCACTGGTCAATTTGGACTGCCGCCAAGTTCGCATCTCACAGCTTCCATTTGGCGGAAGTCTCGTAAGAAAAAAGAGAATCGAAAAGCGTTTATACATCTGGCACGCAAATTACGTTCGAGTGTGACGGATATCAAAGTAACGTTCGATTATTTGTGCTGCGTTTCTTGCGGCTTGAATCGATCGCGATTGTAGCGAGCGATGCGACGAAAATTCTAGGAGCCTCTCTCCAAAAAAGGGGGATGAAACAAACGTGATATTTTTTCTGAGTTAACTTTTAATCGAGTTATCTTTTTTATTGCTTGGCAGATGACCTCTACTATCGAAAAGAAATCACATTTGCGACGAGCCAACTTTTTATTACAACGGAAACGAGTTCGTACTTTAAAAAGAAATTGATTTAAACACCGTGCATTCCCCTCTCTATGACCTTTAACGTAATTCAAAATCATTCCTTAAAACTGTAAAAAAAAAGTGTAATGGGTTTTGCTTGTCAGTGCAAACATTAAGTAATGGCGTGGAATAGAAGAGTCAAGAGGAGAAAATGCGAAGACATCGGATGGACATACGACACGCTTTCAATATTTTCATTCCATTTGCGACTGTTGTTTTTTCTTTTCTCGTCTGTCACGGAGCAATAATTACGAGCTTCGTATTTCGATTTCTCGATATATATTTTGGGTACGACCCTTCGTCATATCGCCACACACTTCCTGCTCGCATGTTATCGATCCGTTTTGTATTCTTCTTTAATCAACTCTTGGCTTTACTCCCCGAAGGACTTGAATCAGTCCTTTTTTTGTACAATAGAAAAAATATTCGAAATATAAAGGATGGAATTATATGGTTCTTGTAGATATAATGGTCCTACTCTTAACCTTTAAACTGCCGGGAAAGCTATTTTTGTAGTTTTTGAGTGTGGATTAAAATACCATTTTTGGTGGTATTTTAAATACTAATTATATTAAACATATATATGTGTATGTTGCCCAAAATATATAAAAATATACAAAATAAGTAAAAAAATATAAAAAAGTAAAAAATTTATAAAACAAGAAAAAAGTAAAAAAAATATAAAAAATAAGTTTAAGAATCAAACAAAAAAGAAAAGACAAAAAGGAGCTATAAACTTTTTACATCTGTCGTTAGCTCTGAGTAATGCTAAATAAAGGAAAGTTCTCTGTATAAATCTATATGTTATATTCATTTACGTTGTCAGTATTACGTTTAGGGTTCGAGATTTCTTAAATCTATGTTCAGAATTGAAATCAGTGACACCAAAAACCTGCGAATACACTATTTTTGAGAAAATAAACATTTTTTATATTTGATCGTACGTTCCTCGCCGGGAAAGCCACTTTTGTGGCTTTGCAAAAATCTCGAAATTTTGCGTCATGTGTACGTTACTTTTATAGAAAAATTTTTGAGGAAAAAGAACCACTATTTTAATGAAAAAATGCCGGCAGTCTAAAGATTAATATCTCCGCTATTTTAGATAGTGAATTTTCATGATTATTTATGGATACTATAACCAAATGTTGTGTTTTTTAAACAAAATTAATTTTTTTAATTTAAACAAATTTAATTTATTTTTATTGGGGGTTCACATTATCATCTCTGTTTTTTTAATACGCAGTATCACCACATTTTTATAAATAATTTAATTTAATTCAGTTTAATTTAATTTAATTTAATTTAATTTAATGTGTACTCATGAAATTACATTGAATGCGAAAGCATGTGAATACACAAATGGTGAGGCACCAGTATAAAGCTGCTGCTATATACCTACCAGAATAATTTTATGTAATAATTGTCTGACAATGAGACAATACATTACTAATATAACTATTTAAATTACGTTGAAAGAAAATTAATAACGTCTTAAGTAATAAATATTTCATAACTTTGAGTCTAGAATTGATTGAACAACACTTTGACTAAAAAAGAGAATGTTAAGCTTTAATTTTAAATCCTGATTATTAATAAAGTTATTGTATAAAATATAAATGGAGAGACCGTAATATACTATCTTCTCCTTTACTATTCTTTATGGTAAAAATATTTTGCAGAAAATGATTATATATAGAACTAGAAAGAGAGAGAAAAAGAGGGAGAGACAGATCCAGATTTCGGGGGGGGGGGGAATAAGTTACGCGTTTTTTAAACAGCCGCACTTCCTCATGCTCGCGTTTTATCGATTCGTTTCGCGTTGCTTTTGCGGCCTGTCGACTTTTTCTCGACGCTTTTTTGTACACCGAAGCGACCTTTGCAAACTCGCCGCACCGGAAACCAGCGAGCAGTTTATCCCCCGATTGCGCCCTGTTGATGGACGCGCGCCAGTCTGCGTGAATGCGATTCTCGCGCGGCGAGACGTGCGAGACATTTTGAACTTTAAACCATGTATTATTATCCATCGTTGTCCGCACACAACACGTCGTCGCAGGCATTTAATAAAAATCAAGATCGCTCGATCGACGGAGAGAGAGCCCTTGCGACGAATATGCTCCGGTGCGAAAGGCCGAAGGTGAGGCACGAGCAAGGGTAGGATTAGTAGGAATAATAACTCATTGAAAAATTATGAAGATGACAGCTCAGATTGCGCTTTACATTTTATTTTGGCTGATCATGACGTAACATAACGATAACGCAGGTTTTTCGATTTTGATTTATAATCAGTGTAAAAATATATTCACGTTAAATTGGACGATGAAATCTGATCGGTATCGTTTAGTAGTTGAAACTATTTTCATAGTTCGTGATTTAAAAACATATATCATTTCCGTTTCTTTCGTTTGTATAATGATGTTATTCGAGATCCAAGTTTCATCCAGGTTGTATCAATATTTTATCAATAAAAGAATTATGTGAACCAAATATAATCATAGAGATAAAAGCTCGAATTTAAAAAAAAATAAAATCTGTTATTCTTCAATCGCAATTATTGGAGAAATCTATATTCTCTTCCAATATATGCATCTTTTGATAATATCGACTTATTTAAAAATAATAATAGTTTATTTTTAGAAAATTCCTTTTCCTTCCTAAGAAAACGTAAGAAAAGGTAAAGAATGTCCTGCTCCGTTCATATGAATGAATGTATCTTACGAAAAATATACTTGGTGCGAAATACTACTGTTTCTTGATATACTGAGAAAAAATTTTTGGCATTTATGATAATTGCATGATAAAATATTTTTAACTGCTAAATGTTAGTAATAATTATATTTATAGTTCTATAATATACAAAAAGAAATATACAGTTATCTCAGAGAAAACGACTTAATAATAATTATAATAATTATTACATTTATATATTTCTATAAGGTAAACTAATTAGCGTATCAATTAGTGGACATGACCCAATTATTGAACGAAATTACAAAAATTTTAAATATTAAGCTTTGATGTGCACGACTAAATAAATTCACATAAGTGAAAAATGTTTTAGTTAATTAAGGCAGCTCTTTGTGCCTAATAATATTTCTTGTGAATTTATACAATTTCCAGTTCAAGCAAACTGTGTGTTGATTATTTATCTTGAAACACAATCCTAAATCAAAACTGCAGTAGTAATATCACAAGCAATTTAATACTATTGACAAGCAATTTTTATCCTTGATGATGTAAATAAGCATCTTATAAGAAATTCTATAGAAAGCGGTTAATAATTACATTTTAAATAAATTACATTCTATATAAATATATACATTCGTTGTTATATTTTTATAAACGATGAATTTATTTACAATCGTACATTTTATTAAGAGCTTAATATTAAAAATTTTTATCATTTTGTCCAATAATTGGGTCAGTCCACTAACTGCCCACTAACTGATGTGTACATTTACTTTATATATCAAAAATATAAATGGTTGTGCCAGAAAACGATTCTAAGCGTTACAGTAATAACTAAAAATGTTTTACCATGCAATTATAATTATAAATATCAAAAACTTTCTCTTAACTTAAGACTTTTAACAATTCACTAACGTGACATGTTAAATATGATTTCATAAAAACACGTTAATTAATTTTTTAAATATTGACCGTATTTTTCGAAATTTATCAAACTCTTAACTACAATTAGTCAGATGTATATATTAAGAAAATTAATATAATCGTATCTCTGATATGACCTCAAAGATATTTTGTAGGATTACGAATGAACGATAAGAAGTCATGTGCACGATATTTCGTGACGAATGCTCTCAGAATAGCGTATCGCGCGGAAGTTTCAATTTATCACAATTTTACAATAACAATCCGTGAAAATCCGTGCTCTGTTATACGATGACTGATAAACTGAGACTTGATGTTCCCATCGTGCCAGGTGCGTCAAGCTATTCTTCCATCTTGATAAACAAGTCATATACGCGAGAGATTCTCTCTGTTACTTTTATTACTCTTTTTAAAACGTCATTAGGATGGAAGTAAAGCTCGCGGTAGCGAAATAACTGAGTATCGCATCGATTAATCTGCTCTTGAAACGCGACCATGGCTAAAAATATTTCTTTTCAATATTTCACATGCTAATACCCAGCCGTGAAGGACCGGCCTTTTATGTGGCGCGAACGCAGAAAATGTTTGTCTCGTGCTATGGCGACATTACGAAGTTTCTAGCGACGATATTTATCGAGAGTCATCGAGCAGCTAAAAGTCGCAAGGCGTTCTCGCGTTCTCGTGTCGCGCGATACGCGAGCCTCGTAATATTTCAAAGTCAATACAGTTCCAAGTGCATGCCGCAAACAATAAAATTAAAATTTTTCCTTTTTATTATTCGTATTCAAGGTAATCTGATGAGCATTTTCAAAGTGCATTTTATTCCGACACGTCTTCCAGTTTGAAGAATCTTTGCGAAGAACAGAAAAAAAGATAAGATTTAAAAAAAAAAAATGCATTGATATGTAAAGGTTTCTGGCCAAATGGATTTTTCATGTCTTCTTTTAAAAACAAAGACAATTTTTTATTAGTTTTATATTGATTTAATTTTGATTGATATTATATAATTGAATTATATAAATACGTTAATTTCTTATATAATTTTCTTTAAATGGCATGTATTATGTACACAGCTAGTATGTCCGTTAAGTAATGAGATTGATTTTTTCCTCTTATGTTAGCAACCCTCCACCTGTTACCACTGACCACATTTGTCCTTGGTCTTTTCTCTACTCTAATTCTAACTGGCACTCTGCGTTGTTTCAGTTTAGAGCAGCAGCTCTAAATATTAAGACATGTTTGTATTGCTTATAACAAAAATGGAATCATACATCGTATATCATACAGCGGTATGTCATCTTTTTTGTAAAATTTTGTGACAATACTATGGCAAAAAAGGTTTGTTGAAGCTTTGCGTTGCGAACACAAAAAGGTGGTATATCACTGTGCGTGATCCCATTTTTATTATACAAGCAACACAGGAAGTTATTAACATTTTAATCTTTTCGTGCCTGACTTCTTTCTAGGAATAATTAGCATCTAATTCGCCCATTATGAATCTGTAGTCAAAATTTCAAAATGGAGGATTCAATATGACGGATCAAAATATAAGTCATGAATTTGAATAAAATTAGCGAAAAAATTTGCTATTTTAATTTTTGTGGAAGATATATGTATTTTTCACTTTTATCCTATTTTCATATTTGATAAGATATGCAGATCAAGAAGTAAAACTCAAAAGGGTGTTGTTGATTTTTTGTAAATAGTTCTATCCTTTTTCATTTTCATAAAATGAGCTCAAAAAGAAATGGTTATCTTTATTTTTGTGGGAATATATTTCCGTCCCATCTGGAAGCAAAAGGGTAATTTGTTACTTCAAAATCAATGCAGTTCGAGTTGGAGTATGGAAAGGATCAAAATCAAATATACCAACGGGAAGCAGGATTGCTAACATAAGAGAAAAAAATTAGTTTTATTATTTAACGAACACATTGACAATGAGGATAATATACCAACTAGGAAAAATTACTTCGATCTTAAAAAAAAAACGTGAAAAATCTATGTGACCGGAGATTTTTACACGCTACAGTATATAGAATTTATGATAAAATTATAAAACTATTAAATCGTTCAGCAGAAGCCATTGAGAGAGCTGGGTTTGTGCCTCAATACGGGGATATCAACGGGTCGCTCAACGAGCAACGTTGTCATCGCCGAGGTCTGCAACGAAACGCGCGGGGCACTTCCGCTTCTTCAAGTATGGCCCAGCGACTCGCCCAGAGCCGATACCGACGAACAGGCCCCAGCTTTTATATTCCCAGACGTGCAGGAAAACGTCAACGACAGCGGCATCGAATCCATCCAGGTGTGACTCTTACGTGTGATATTATTTTCCTTATTAAATCTCTAAACTTAGAAATCAATACTCTTCAACTGTGCTTGCGTGAATTAAATAAACATAAGTGTTCTCAAGGCATTTTTACGCCGTAAATTTTACTGTCGTTAAATTCATAACGTAAAATCGTATCCAATTTGAGTTATTTTTAATCATTTCTATAACTCATCACTATACTCCTACTCAATACATTGTTAATTTAAGACGTTAGAGGACGGGATCTATTTTTAAAATCTTACACTTTTTCCTTGAGTAAGGTATGTTATAATTTATTATTTCATTATATTCCTTGCTTTAATATTCCTTGCGCCACTATAATGGCTCTTTTTTCCGATCTGTATAAAAGAACTAAAACAATGAAATTAAATAATTTAATTCAAGAAACGTATTAAATTTGACTCACAAGATTCGCACTAATTATATGGAAAATTGATGTATAGTTCTCGGTGTATAGTTAGTACAGGGTCTTTTAGTTTATTATTTATTAACAATAAGTATATACGTTAATATGAATGCTATTTACTTTGAAATTAAGCAATTCAACCACAAAAATGGATTGATTAAACGAGTGTTGTTTTTTAATCACATTTTTTTCAATGAAAATAATATTTATAACAATTACAACACACTTGAAAGTTGAAAATAACAAAATGTTATTTAACTCAAGGAATTAGCTTAAAGCTGATCCTTTAACATTTAACAATGTGAGGACGGATGTTTTGTAGTATTCGAAATCCTTTTCGCGTAGGACAAACGTTGAACGTGTTTTTATTAAAAACTTTTTGCACGAATTAATTCCTGCCTTATCATAACAAGAAAAAAATACCTTAATTTTTGTGAAATGCGTTAAAGGCGTCGCCGTCGCCATGCGGTGCCACCTGCAACAGTCCGGCGATGACACCGCAGCAATCGCGTCGTGCCAGCCTGCTACATCCGGATCACGCGCGACTGCAGCTGCATTATCTTCATCACAACCATCATAACGTGGGAGTGAAAAGTCCGCCATCGCCGGACAAAATGTCTTTGGACGAGGACCACGAGGATCGACCCGCGCCACCAAGTCCCTCCAGTTCGACCACCAGCAGTTTGCGATCGATGCCAAGCTCGGCGATCGTGTCGATGCACTCGCAAGACAGGAGACGTAGCAGCAGGTAATTGACTTGATACATTTACCCGATATCTTCAGCTAATGATCTTCTTTATTTTTATTTTTTTATTTTTATTTACTTTAATTCTCTTCTACAATGACCACATTAATGACATAAAATGAATAAAAAATATAATAAACATATAGGTACAACTTTGACTATCTACATTATTATGATAAACAAAGGGTAATTCCCCTAATGTTGTACTCATACACTGAAAGAAAAAATGCAATTGCTATATCATTTGACCATAATTTTTAATTAGACATCGGATTTTTATGCAGATATTCATATTATAAATTATAATAATTTTTATGCTAACTTTATATATATATATTTTTTTAGAATTATAAAAATATAATTATAATTTTAACATTATAAATGTAATAACTAAAAATTTTAATCATAATTATTGTATAATACTAAGCATTTATAAATACTAACACATACAGTACAGATCATTTTTGCTATATAATAGCTATATAATAGCAACATTTTTCAACAGAACGCTTTGTATTGTGTGAGCTAATAATTTTCTCTCAGTGTAATAAATGAGCAAAGTCAGCCCATATTGTGGTGAATAGGATCTCGGAGTAGTGACTATAAATTCAATAAGTATTATTGCAAGAAATATCTTCTTCTCATCTTTTTTTGTGTAGTATGAAGTATCGGCGAGTATTTATTTTCTGACCTTATCCTTGGCCGCGTATGTGCGTTTCAAGCAAGGTCTCAGAGATGGAATGGCAGAAATAATCTATTGTAGAATACGCGTCGATGTCGGACTCGGTCTTGACTCGTGTCAAGGAACGACCTTGACACAATGCAAATATAAGGAAGATACGTCACGACGTATCAGCGTTACGGTTGTATATGTATGCGCGCACGCGCGCGTGTATATGTAGGTGTCGGTAGAATTATTCATCACTTGTACGGGTTCTTGCCACAAATACCGAGTGGTTCTTTCTATGAGGACCTCGAGAAAATCGCTTTTCTCCCCCAATCTTGAGATCAACCGCGCCCCAATTTTGTTCTTTTTTTGTCGTAGCAATTCTGCAATCTCACAAGCGAGCACGCAGAATCTCTCACAAGGCCAAGACATTGAATTGCTTGATAGAGGCCCACTTTATGTCGTTGTACCTTCGTTTGCGAACAGTTCCCATCATAAGTTCTTTGAAGTAAGAACTTACGATGGGGGAATTGTATTCGCTACCGAAGGTTTTGTTAAAAATCGTGAAAGAGGTTTCGAAATTGTCAAAAAATTTGCCAATGTATGATTTAATCTATAGTTAAATGAAATAAATAATTAAAGAGATAATATACCTACTTTTAATTATAACAAATATAGAAATAATGCATGTAAAATAATATAAAAATTTTTAGGATGTAAGAAAAGAAGATTGAATAGTTCATTTATTTTTAAAAATAAATGAACAATAGTATTAGGGCCCATAAAAATACAGCACCGTAAATGTGGTTGCACATTATTAATAAAATCTGTTTGAATTTACATTACACATTAATAATTCGTAAAACGTTGGTTCGTACCATTACACTTAGAGCTATTCCCAGCAAAGAAAAAATTTGATTACACTCTCTAAGAAAAACTGACAATGAGATGGAGTCGCTCTTAAATTGCTAGGAACTGTAAAAGTTGTATTGTTCCATCTTGGTCGGAATGAGGGAACGTCGAAATGAAAGCGTATATAGATATTATTCCCGAATATCAATTGTGCCAGACCTTATTGTAACAATAATACTTAATTATTATAAGAATAAATATATCTGAATCGCAATTAAAGATTAAAATTAAAATAAAATGATTTAATATTTTATAACTGCGGACTTTCCAATTTTTACGTGCGGACCTTTTTTACTGTAACTTTCATTTTTAACTTTTACAGAATGGCAGCATTATATAAGTGTTGTTTTATTTTTTATATTGTAATTTCTATACTTGCTCTAGTACTTGTTCTATCAGACTCCAAATATTAAAATTAACTGTTAGGTGAATACCAATGATTACTATATATATTTGCAAATAAAAACTTACGCCTAATAAACCTTATTCGTGCTTGATTGCTTATATTGTAATGTGCCTATCTCATTCGATTTTCAAGCATTATACATACTTTTTTATTATTATTTGTCGACGTTAAAAATATTGTTAGTTAGTTATTTAAATTTAAATTCAGTGAATTCAAAATCTCTTATAACAAATTTTTAGAAAACTTGTCCGTTTTTAAATATTGACATTACTGTAACAGAAAGACGGGAAACTACTGTATATAGTGCTCTGAAAGGGTGTCATGTTTTGAGGCAAGAAACTGTAATAAATCTTACTTAAAGGAAAGCTGTAAGATTTGAAAAATTGACTCATCCGCCCTCTAAAGGTTAATTATGTTGGTATCACGCTCCTGACATGATTGATATTTGGAGACAATGTCTACATACGCCTCTAGCATCTCGGCGCTTCCGACCAAGCTGGAACAATACAGCTTTTAATTTAAGAGACTCCATTTTATTTTTTCTTAATAGCGTGCGATCACATTTTTTTTCACCGAAAACAACTCGAAGTACGAACGTTTTCACATTAGAAAGTTGAAAATTTCCTAAGTTTTTTTGAACACGTGACCACCTTACAAAGCGACAAGAAAATTTCCTATTTTATCCAGCTCGTTTTCTATATGTAAAAATGATGAAACTCACAGAAATTCGAAAGACATAGTATTCTTCCGAAAATAGAGATTCTAAACTTCAAAATCCAATTTTTTAATTTTTTAAATTTAAATTTTGTTTACTTTTAACGAAGATACAGCTGCTTAAATTTTTAAATTTGTAGCGCTACAAATTTTTGCTTTAATTACTTAATTAAAAATTTTGCTTAATTAAAAAAAATATTTCATTATATCAATGTTTTATTGCAATACTTTATTAATCATTAACTTGCATACTATACTCTCTTACACTATTCTTAATTTATTACTTTTCAAACGTACTATTTACTTTTATTGAACTTTTAAAGATGGTGCATCAAGAATATGTTATCTCAAATAATGTAATATAGTCAAATAGTATATAGTAATTATTAAATAAATTTTATTAATAAATGGTTATATAGAAACAATTAACTAAAACAACTTAACTAGAACAAATGATAATTAACGCGTGGCGTATAAAATTAAAAGATCTCCATGGTTTTTTCTTCATTAGCAGATACAGCATGTTCGATGCTCTGGATTTGGAATATGCTTTACTGAGGGCCGCAGCCCGCGGTTCCGTGGGTCCGTACTCGCTGTCGGAATCCCTCCACAAGTTAACCTTCACCCAGAGTCTGGCCTTTCCTGCTCTAGCGCGCGGTCTTGCCGCCAAACAGAGCGTCCCAAGCGGGAGGTCTCAGCAGCCGACGGAAAGCGGGCTGAACGCCTTCGCCAAAGTGGTGACCGCGATGGTGCTGATGCTGGTGAGCGTGCTGGTTTTTGGTGTGGTCTACAAGTTCGCTAAAACGTGAGGCTGGCTGCTGGCGCCTGGTCGATATCCTGAAACGATGCAGGATGGCAATCGTCTGGGTGCCGGCGACTTCTTCAGCGATGTCTGATAAGGCCTGAGGAAGGGTCTAAATCTCAACCCGCTCTGTGCGAGAAGAATTGACAAGCGACGGAAGAGAGACATAGGACACTGCGTGGTACCATGTCTAGGATGACATTTCAACTAAGCATTCGTTGGTCCTTCGATGCCGAGATTGATGTGTGAATGGGAGATGAATGGGAAAGACGACTGCGATACATGACTCAATTTAGAGTAATTAGTCAGGTTGTAATAAGATTTTATACGATATCTTATTGTCTTTGGGTGCGATCTTATTACAAATGTTTCGAAACGTTTGATTGACCATTTAGAAGAGAGAATTTTATTAATTGACCAATCAAAGAATACTTCAAAGCATTTGTAGCATCAAGTTGACCAATCAGAAGAGGGAATTTCATTAAATGACTAATCAAAGAATTCTTCAAAGCATTTATAATATCAAGTTGATCGTACTCTTTGTCGCATAATGATACGTGTATTTACGTACTTAACGTAAAGTTTCAGTGATAAGATGCACTGTCATGAGAAGAAACGAGATTGATAATGAAAGGCATATTATAACGTTATCGATTTGACAATCAGTCAAATCGATAAAAAATATGTGAATCAAATCGTATACATATATATAGTATACGTATAATAATTACATATTGCGAATATGCATAAATAATATCTGGTGTCGATAAAAAGATAAAAAGATATGAAAAACATGTAAAATGAGAAAGTCTAAGAAAGATTACAGAATGCATATTTGTTACAAGAGTATCTAGCCGATTTATTTCTTGAAAAATAGTTGTACGTGCGTGAGTTAACAAAGACGAAGGTTTTACATATTGACGAGTGTACTCGATCCAAAGTAACGAATACAAACTTGTGTTCTGAGCTGCGGTATCGTCGAAGAAAATATTTCCGCATCGCTTTCCACGATACTTCAAGAACCGCGAGAAACTCATTAAATGTTCTTCAGAGAGTTTTACCGCGCTGGTTGATAAGCGGTAACTGGGACGGGTCTCGATTAATATAAGTCGGATTGCAGTTGTACGACGAGGAGAGGACAATTGTGGGTCGAGTCATTCGTTGAACTGTCTATTCTGCGCGGTAACATTTCAAATGGGACGCGCTTTATGCAATCGAGCGAACGCTCGAAACTTCAATTGTGGTTTTAACCTTCCATAGCTGGCGGTAGGTCTATTGGACCTATTCAATTATAAATCTCTTTGTCAAACAATTCAATTTTCTTTATGCATCTATTTTTATTAAAATGTATTTAGCATTCATTTCTTTTTATACGAATTATGTCATTTTGATTTCTTGAAAGTAACTTTAGTGTCTTTTAACTCTTCGTCTGCAATCTGGGCATTTTTTGACACAAGCAAAATTTCATTCTCAAATTTCATCCTTATTTTTGCTCAAATTTCAATGTTTATTAAATAAACATTTTAATATTTGAATTAAAAACTATTTGATAATGTAATAGAGATATTGAAAAAAGTAATTTTAAAGTAATTCTAAATTTAAGTAATTTTAAATTTTTTAAAGTAATTAATAATTTAAGTAAGTAATTCTAAATCTTTCCATATTTTTTGAAAATCTATACATATAGAACAGTAAAAAAACTTGGGTTGAACAAAAAAGATCCAGATTGCAGATGGAGGGAATAAAAATGTAATTGCAGACAACTTGATGCTAAAATAACATAAATTAATTCTCTTAGAAATCACCTCAGTAACTGTGTATAGATTTTGATGTCAGCTCTAAAGGTTTAATCACAATTTAAACGCAGATTCAAACGCAAGATCAAATGATCGCAAGTAAAATGATCGCCGTATTTTTAGGATTATATCTTCGAATTTTTATTGAGACAATGAATCTTCCTTGGATCATTCTCAGCCCATTTTTTTTTCTTCAAACGTCGAACGTTCGCTCTGGACAGATCCGATCCCTATAAATACATATAGTCTGAAAGAAAAACTTTGGTTGAAATGCGCGAACGTAATCTGTTTAGAATACAAAATAATCTTTTGACCACGCTAGAATTTTTTTTAATAGTTTAATTAATTGTTACCTTATTAATGTATCAAAATCTCCTGGTTAATATCTACGTTGCTTTGCAGTGCCTTTGCTCCTCGCTCAAAGTCGCCATCTCACACAGACGCCGCATGCGAAGGCATAATCTCGCGAATGTTTTGGGAACCTCTAACAACTGTCCAAGTGCTTTACACAAAACTTCTATCCGTGACAATCGGCCGGGAAGCGCTCGTTCCCGGCAAATTAAGTTATAATGTTAAAATGCGACTCGGTGGTACTTCGACTTCCGGCCGGAAACGACGAGCACACCGCGATAAATTAAGTAGCTTCCGACGATGTAAAATTAATTCGAAGGCAGCTTATCGTCTATGCTTCGTCTGAAACACGGTCGAGGCTTGAAATTGAATCGAAATCCGATGCGACATTGAATAGTTTTCATGCCAGTCGATCAACGTTAAGGCTATCGTGTATTTTTATAAAATCTCATATCGATCGTTACGTCAGTAAGTAAAAATAAACTCGACTCGCTTGTTATATACCTTCTCATTAAAGAATATTCTAAAAGGTACAATTTATTTTTGCTAGATCTTAAAGTCGATTTCGATTCCGTTTCCAGCATGCGAAAGCTCAAACAGGCATCCTTGAGCTTGTTTCGTACAGCCTAGAGAGAGTCGTTTGTTTTATATATAATAAAATATAATAAATATATAAATACATATATACACACAATTATATATATTGTATATATTTATGATCGTTACGAAGGCGTATCTTCTTTACTTTGATGTTGTGCTCTGTACAAAGCAACGAAATTTCTAAAAATAATTCAAGACGCGTCATGATATATAGCGGAACTACCGCTCTCTACTTTTTTTAACTATCGCATTGTACATTATATACATATATGTAACGCTAACGTGTTGCACTACGATATGTGTAAAGAAAAAAAATTCTTTACTCTTCCCTTGTATACGCGATGACGTACTCAAAACGAATCTCGCGATGATGTTTTTCGTGCTCATTAAACAAAACCGAAATTAGTGAGAGTCTTCACATCACGTTCTACTTTACAATTCTACAAGACGTTATGCTGTTTTAAAATCTACTAATAAAGAAATCGCGTTTCTCTCGCACCAGAATTTATATCAATTGTGAAAATTTGATTTCAATTCTTTTAATCTGAGATGTGTCTCAAAGTTTTGCGACAGGATATGAGAATTCTAAAACAGCACATTTTTAAATGCTACATGAAGAGAAGATAAATAGGTTGCTTTTCTTTTTTGTGTTAAAAAATTGCCGCGCATTTTTTTTTTACTAGAATTTATGTCCATTTAAAAATTTTATTTCTATTTTTTAAATCTGCGATGCTTAAAGTTTTCCGACACAATATGAGAATTCTAAAACACATATTTTAAATGCTATTGAAGAGAAGATAAATAGAGCCATTACTTGAATTTATATCGATTATGAAATTTTTATTTTTATTTTTTTAATTTCCAATGATTCACAGTTTTGCAACACGATATGAGAAACATTTTTTAAAACAGCATTTTTAAATTCCACTTGAAGGAAACGTAAATTTCTTTTCAAACAAATTGCGTTTCTCTTGTACTAGAATAGACTGTGAAATTTCGATTTTTATTTTTTTAAATCTGCGTTCAAAGTTTTACATAATGTGAGAATTCTAAAACAGCACATTTTCAAACACCACTTAAAGAGGAGATAAATAGAGTTGCTTTTTTCCAAAAAATTGCCGCGTATTTCTCTTGTACTAGAATTGATATCCATTGTAAAATTTTTTTTTATTTTTTTAATTTGCGTCTCAGAGTTTTGCGATACGATATGAGAATTCTAAAACGTTTTCAAATACTTGTATTTGAAAAGCAGGTGAATAAACCATTTTTTTCAGCTACGTATTCGGCATATATGGGAAACAAGCGTAGGTCATGTTTATCGTGAGGGAAAAAATATAGAAACAGAGAAGCAAGAATGTGGAAAAGGACAGCTGAAAAAAACAGACTTAAATTAAATTAATTTTTTTTTCATTGTAACGATATCATCGACTTCGTGCAACGATAATAAAATTAAACGGGGAAAATTGGAATATTTCAATTTCATGAAGTTTATCTTCTCTATGTGTCTAGATAAATAATTAAGGAATGATTGAGAAGAGGATTAAATCAGAAATGTAAAGTGTGCAGATTGAATGTGGAACAAACGTTTGCATACAGTTTTAGAATTTGTAGATTTTTGAATGGCGGTATATGTTTCCGTACTTATGTAATACTTACTGTTCTGTTCAGAGATCCTCTCGCATCTCGTGTCCCAGCATCGGCCGATATATGAACCACGAGAAATGGGTCGATTCGATATAAAATTGTTGCGCGTTGAATTTAATCGTGCCAATATGTATTCATGATCGTACCAAAACATTTCCTAATTCTAGCCGTCTACGTTAAATATATACTGCTTGTAAACGTTGTAACTACTTCCTTTCGATCGTCCCATTTCGCGGTAAATTACTTTCCTTTCTTCCAGCGAAATGAAAGAAGAGAAAATAAAAATGCTACAAAATTACCAGCTGACAGCAACCGCTTTAATTTTACCTTTGTTCTTGCAATTCAATTTTTTTTAAATTTGACATGACATTAACAGTTTTATAATTACAAGCAAATGGAAATTACAGGGATTTGTTTTTAGGTTTCAGGACTGTGAGTAGGTAATCAAACATGTTCTTTCATTAAGTTCATGTTACTCTCTTACACAAAACTCACAAAGTTCTAATTCAAAATTTATTTACAAAAATATTTAACGTCATTTTTAATATACTAACACTTGCTACTCCTGTTGTTTTTAATTGGTTTAATTCTAGACATTTAATAAATGGATTTGATTTCGAACCAATTACGAAAGAGTTGAAAGATGACAAAGTTCTGCTCCAAGATGTCAAAAAATTTCAGATTTGTTCATATATTTATATATATATATAGTATATAACAAATCTGGAAAAATATTTGCGATTGTTACTTTATTTCTTGAAATAAATAATAAGAATTAATGTGTGTGAGAACAATAATAATTAAAGATACTAAGGGCAGATAGGAGTCAATGCGCTGAAGTTGATGTGCGATTAAATAAAATTTTGTATTATAGAAATTCACATTAAAAAAATAGAAAAATTATAAATTACATAATTAATTTAATTTTTTATATGAATTTCCACAATACAAAATTTTATTTAATTGCGCACCAACTTCATTACGTTGACTCTTATTTGTTTTTGGAATTTATTTATTTACTTCTTGATTTCGTAATAAATTGCGAAACTAGAGCTCATTAAGCCAATCCTTTGATGTTTAAAGCTCATCTATTTTTGTACGCTATCTTCGTAGAGTTTCATTATCAAGTCGTTTTGTCCTCTCCAACAATAAACTATGTCCAGACATCTCGAAACAAAAGTTTTAAGAACCAGCAACCAAGAGTTCTCTTTTCGTACGCGAATAATAAAAATGAAAAATAAATAATGATCTTTCGGATCTTTCTTGACAAATAAATCTTGAAAATGACGCGAACATCTGTTTGGAAAAAGAAGATAATACCATATTTTCTCGTAGGCAAAGACGCCATTTATTATCTCGCTGACGCAGGAGTGGGGTTTCTCGCGTAGTTTTACATGTCACCCTCGGATTTTCGCGTGCAGCTGCGCGTGCCGCGCTAGAAAGTCGAAAGTTTTACAAGTTTTTCTTCTCGTTTGTTCCGAACTTACTCCGTCACATTTAAAGTGCTAACATATCAACAGTGATATATTCCTTACATGACTATTACATGATTACACGCGGAATGTGTTTGCGAGTCCTACATCATCCGCAAAAAAAAAAAAATAAACAAATCAAAAGAAATTAATAGAAATTCAATCTGCAAGGTAAAATCTCTTCTAAAATTTTTGATATTACAGCTTTTAAATATCTTTTATTTTTCATGAAACGACAGCTTTATACATTCCTTCTAACAAAAAAAAAACGAAGGAAAATAAAAGATATTTTTATAAAGTCTTCCAATCTCACAAGGATTAATAATTAAAAACTTTACACAAAGTGAGTTTCTATTAATTTCTCTTAATTAATCAACTCTTTATAGATTTACGTCACACGTCAATACATCCACATTCCCTGCCTATCGACCCATGAAAATATAGCATATGTACGCGAAAGAGAGTCCATTTATTGCTATCTTACAAGATATCTCTTCGATCTACGTACGCGTGTGTACAATAACGTGCCAATCGATGCGTCTCCGCGTGTACACGTTATCTCGCGTCCCCATAACAGCACAGAACTTGCAGCAATATTACACGTCGCAGCAAATTCTGTACTGTTGGGGGGTGTTTGTTGCGTAATATGCATGATTGTGCGGGCGAGAAGTCGGCCGGAAATGGAAGTACGCGATTCATGGAACGCGATTCTGGAAGTACATCGCTCTTCTCTTTTCTCTCTCCAAATGGGAAAATCCATTTTTTGACGTTTTTACTTAACTTCACTTGCTTTTAGGCCGATACCTACTTGTTTTCGCTCTCCCATTCAATCTCACATTGCTTTCACTCTCTCATTCTTTCTCGATACTCTTTCTCCCTCAACTCTCTCGTTACAACGCGGCCGCGAATTACGTTGTAGCTTACTCGAATTATCACGTGAATCTCATCGAAGAGCGAGTGGAGTACAAGTTACTCTCTTACGCGCGAGGAGAGACGTTTTCTCTTTTGTGATGAAATTTATGCCGTCGTACGTAACGAAAGAGTCAGTAGAAAATTTCCTCGTGTATGCGTTACGCACCGAGTCATCTTGGTCTGTGATAAACTCTCGGCGACTGTAGAAAAATAAATTGCTACCGTATCGGCGATGTTCGTTTTTTTTTCTTGCGTTTTTATACCGCGCACATTTATAGTTTCCTAGTACTCTTATATTTTCATTTTTTGTCAAGTACCGCCGTTATATAGACGTAGTATAATAGATATATATACTGTCTCCAATGTACGTAAATCTCGTGTGCTCTCTACAGATGACGTGTATATCCGGGAGAGAATACAGTTCTCTAATACTCCTAAAAAGATGTCGCCCGCGCTTAGATCGTTGATGGAATAAATGATAATAAAATTATGCCATGTATGAAACGTCACTGAGAACCGGAAATGGTGACGCGAGAACAGATAACTTCGTGCCTCTGCCAACATCTTTCTCGTCCGCTTTCTGAAGACTCTCTTCATCTCCTCGTATGCAGGGCTGGGTATGTACTTGAAATACTTTTATTTAAAACGCACTATTTACAATACAAGCGTATTTTGTATTTTTTATTTCAGCGGATCACATAAAAGTATCACGTATTTTTGTATTTAAGATCGAAAGGTTGAAAGATTTTTGTACTTTATAATTGAAATAATAAAGTTTATTGTCAATGTTAGTATTTGAAATACAAAATACAAAATACTTTCAATCTTTCGTTATTAATATCGAAATACAAAATACAAAATACTTTTATATGCTTCCATGAAATACAAAATACAAAATATTTTCATGTACTCTGAATAAACACAAAATACAAAATATATTTGTCTTACCAATACGGTTTTTCAAATAAAAGTATTTTAAATACATGCCCAGCCCTGCTCGTATGTCGGCGACGAAATCGTAGCTCGAAAGTTTCATTTCGAGTTGCGTGTAGATCAGACGCGGAAACTGAACTATTTCGAGCTATGAATGACAATTCTTTATTATTGCTCGTACCAAAAAAAGTTCTGTTACCGCAATGGGATACCAAATTCACGACAGGATTCAGAAATTGTTTCTCGCAACTTTCGCGTCTGATCAATGCACGTCTTGGAGAAAGAAGTTTAGCCCTAGAATATAATGATGAATTCGATCGCTCGTACTACACTGTATTAGTACACATTAAAAGCTGCTTTATGTAAAGTGAATGATATAATATAATCAATTTTGACAATGAAGTAATATATGTTCTGTTAAATAACAGATGTCGATGTTATTATTGGGTATTTAATCATTTAAAATATTTATATGTTTTTATATTTAATTTTACTAATTTCATGTCAGAAAATTTGTGTTAATTTAATACAAGATAAATATGTTAGAATAATACAAACATTATATAAAAAAATTTATATAAAAAATGTAACACACTGCAATTTGTAAGCAAACCGTTGAAAGTATACTTTTTCTATAAAGTTTACATTTATGATATGTTAAATTAATATGTATTTTATTCATTTATCTTTGAATTTAAAATATATTTTTGTTATTTGTTTATTTATTCATAAATCCTGTCATTTTGACATCAAGAATGTTGAGTATTTTAATACAAAATATTCAAATAACACAACCACATTATGTTAAAACTTGGTGTATGTAAAAAATTTAACTCAATATCTTAACAAGGATTTAACAGATCGGTTTTAATATAATTACAAAACGTTTCTTATATAACATAAATACAAAATATTTGTATACAGCAGCTTTTAGTATACACGAATCTAATGTAATGCAAGTGACCAAATTCGCTATTAATACCACACACGAAGTGAATTACCACTACATTATTCAGATTCTCTCGAAACGGCTGCAGCGTTCCATCTGTGTGTGTGTGTGTGTGTGTGTTACTATATTACACTTCTGTTTACGATATTACATCTGTGTTTTCCTCCCTATACAGATCTATTGCTATTTACACGGCGACATCAAAATATCATTTCACTTGCGTTTTCAAACCTGCGTGTTTTCTAAATCTATTACTTGTTTTTTTTATTTCGAATATACCCTGTACGAGTTCAACGCACCCTCGCCGTTCGTAAAACACGTGCGCACGCCCCTGTGTGTGCATACGTGCGTACGTGCGTGCGTGCGTGCGTGTGCGCGTGCGAACGTGTGACAATGAAGTCGGCGGCAGCTGTGTGCAAACTTCCCCCATCGCGATAATCAATGACGGATGATGGATGATGATATGGCGACGTGTGATGATACTTGCGGATAATCGCGAACGATTCCGCCCCTCTCCAATCCCTTCTTGTCCTTCCTTCCGCGTGCCATTTCTCTCTTTTGAGACACGGAGGCTAACATTTAGAGAATTCTCTACAACAATACACATTTAGCTTGCCGAACGTTCTTGAGAAAAAATCCGTTCGGTGTACAAAGACGTCGTCTAATTTACGATTCGTAATTCATCAGCTCCCGGAAGCTATCAAGTTGGACGTTCAGTTTCCTCTGAACGTCCAGCCCGATACCTACCGAGATAAATCGTAACGTGTTCTTTTCGAACAATCGGATTTATAACCCCGGTGAAAGATTGTTTCTCGTTCGAGTTAGAGCCTTTGAAGTACATTATTGATAGATTATCGGGTGGGTAGGTTCAACAGGGAGATCGCTGTCAAGATCGAGAAAGACGCCATCCTTGGAGACAAGATAGTGCGTTAAGAGCTGACCCTTGCCCTTAACGAAGACGAGACCTCGTTGCTCAAAGCCGAAACCGAACGGCTCCAGTATCTTTCGTGTTTCGTCGGTGACCTACAAATTATTATTTTTTTTAACTTAAGATAAGTTTTTTATCTAAATTTATTTGTACTTAATACGATTATCTAAATTTAATAAAAAAAAGTATATAGTGATAGGGCAACTATAAAGAAGACAACTACACTGAGAAAAATTAATAAATTTTAATAAATAATTGTTTAAATAGTACTACTATAACATTTATTTGCGAAAAACAAATATTTGCTAAATAAAATTTAATAAAATTTAGTACATTTTTTTTTCAGTGAAAGGAATGCACTAAAATATTTAGAAGCGGTTGTTAATACATCTTTCTGATCGATACCTGAAAGCAGCCGACTTTCCCCGTACTCTCCATCCTTGACGCGACATTGACGGTGTTGCCCCAAATATCGTAGTGAGGTTTCCGCGCCCCGATGACGCCAGCAGTTACCGGTCCTTGATTAATGCCCATTTTCAAAACAAAGTGATTAAAACTCTGCTCGTTGATGCTTGACAGGGCTTTCTTAAGCTCCAGAGCGAACTCCACAAGAGTGACGAGGTGGCCCCATCGGGGAGCATCCTCCGACTGCACCGATTGCACTTCGGATATTCCCGAAGCGGCCATGTAGGTCGATCCTATCGTCTTGATTTTGATGATACTATGGAATTTCTTCTGATCGAGGATCTAACCAGGCAGAATAAAATGAGTTATACAGAAATATAACGAAAGAAATATAGAAGAAGGTATAAACTGCTACATGTCAAATCTGTCGAAAGCAAATTTTGAAAGTGTCTACTATAAATTTTCTCAATAAAATATCTGCAGAAATATAACGGAATCTATTAACAGAATATAATCAGAATGTTTTTTAAAGAGATTAATTAGAATCTGCCGATATATGTAATCATTCCATTCAATAGTGCTATAGTCCAAATCGGACCCGGGCCTCTTCTGGAGATGAGGTTTTGAAATAATGATTTTTCCAGAATTTTAGATTGTTAGTCTGTTCAACCCCCAACCTGGGGAACCGATATATATTGATACATGGAATCTACAGTTTTTAACGCCGGCTCCGAATGGCGGTGACAAATATAATCTCAGTGGTTTGCCATTACCTTCGAGAGATTTCAATCAAACCAAATTTTTATGTTCTGGATGAACGAATCCTACATTTTCGGCATAGGAAGCAACCGTGTTACACTCTACGTCAAAATCGCCCAATAGATTTATTAGATTTATTTAATTCTAAAATCAATTTTCTTTATATTACGTCAAATTTGGATTATTTTTATAAAAATATATTTAATATTTATTCTTTTTTTTACAAGTTACGTCATTTTTTTTTTAAATTAATTAGTACTTTGTAATTAACATAAGTTAAATGGATCTCAAAGACGTAACGTCAGTAGCTATTAGCGAATTCGGTTGCACTCGCTAGTGCGCACTAGTGTATATTAAAGCTGTTGTACATCCAGCAAATGAAATCGGATTGGATTGAATAAATCCGTGTATAAATCAAGTTTTCGAATTTGCATTATTCGTGAAAAAGATATTGAATTTTGTAGATACTGAACGTACTGAATCCGTTGCTATATACATCTAGATAAATACAATATAATGTTGACTCTAGTGGATTCTATAGATTCTGAAATGAAAATATGTCGTCCGTGATCCTAGCAAGTGATATAAAATTGGAAAGTACGCATCGAGATGATCACAGATATATGAATCATTGCTTCCCGAATGACCCTAGTACTGTATACTACAAAGTGTACAACATTACGGATCTACGGTGACAGGATGACTTCCGGATATAACCTGCACTGTCGTGGCCAGGGTTATCATGTTTAGAAATCTAGACATAAGAAATCTAGACATAATAAATCTAGACATAATAAATCTAGACATCTCTGAATCACCCTGTCGCCGTGGATCCGCAATATTGCAATTTGAACGAATTAATCGTACATTCATTACGTTGTGCATTGTGTATGATACCAAAAGTAAATAACTAATACGTATCTATAATTACGGATTCAACCGGATTGATCGCATGTTTTATTTCTATAATGCACATTGGGTAAAATACAGAAGGCAAATAACCAATCCATAATTATTGATTCAAGCCGGATTACAAATAGAAAACGGATTAAAAAATCTAAAAACTTGATTCGACATCGCTTCAATAAATAACTTTCAATATTTTTCAATAATTTCGTTTGCTGGGCACTGATTTAATCTGTAATAAAAGTAAAATCCAAATATTTTAAATTATAAAATATAGATTTTACAACGGCATACTAAAATGTATTGAACATTTCATGATTTAATCTGTTTTTATACACTGAGAGGAAAATGTCAAATATTGCGAATTAAATATTACGATGTTTTCTTCGATATTTATTAGATATGAAAAAATTTAATTGTGATAACAAAGACACACTTTTGTTAAATATATCTCATTAATTGTAAAAAAAGATAGATAGCTTATTTGCTAGGAATAAAATTTTATTTCGCCATACTTAAATAAAGATTTATTTCAATGAAATATATTTCTCACAAATAAATTTTTAAGTATCTTTCTCTCTTAGTGTATTTATATTAAACACATATTTTTATGTCTGTAATTTATGTGTAATGACTTTAATGTGCACTAGTTCGTAATGAGTGCATCCAATCAAATTTACTACATACATGTTACAGGTTTTAACGTCCGCTCTGAAAGATTAAATGGTGTATTCCATTTATATATTTATGAAGTGACAGATTCTATTCAGTTTCCGTCGACAATTTGCCATCGGATTATATCGGCAGGCTGTGCTAGCAAAACACGAGTTTAATACAAATGATAGAGATGATACCGGATCTGTTGTAATCTGAGCAAATCTGCTGCCAATTTATCGTCATACTGCGGGTAGTTTGTTTACCGAGTATAATGGGGAAGCTTCACGGAAGTAAGATGAGCAACGAGAAACTTACGGCGTCAAAGTCGGAGATGACCTCATTAAGGAACCTGAGGCACTCGAGGCCTTGATTGTTGATGCTCTCCTCGCTGTAGAAGTCCGCGAAGTTTGGCATACTGGCAAATAGTACACCTACTTCGGCGTAGCTCTGGCTGTAAAGATCGTCGTGATGCCTCGCATGTGATAGGAAATACACAGCTACGTGAGGTGGCAAGATGTTGTATATTAGTGCTCCATTTCTTCGTTTCATGTCCGCTGCCCGTTCCCTTTGCGCGATTACTTCTCGTCCTCGCAGATACAGCATCCTTCGCGCCTTCTCGGCCTGCACATAACATTCACATCTTCGTTAACAAGTTTGCCATTTAAATTTTTCGCACCACTGAATAAAGCGAGTGAAACACAAAACTTTTGATCGCAATTAAACTTCTAATTAGTCTGCATTTTTACATTAATTTTTACATTAACGCATTAATTTACATTTTAATTAATATTACGAAATAGCTATATGTACGAGATATACGGAATATCGTATATACGGAAAGAATAATTTTATCGAAACGTCTAAAAATTTAAGTAAATCTGAAAATAATTTCGTTTGGACTATTAAAACAGTTATGTAGGATGCCTCAAACTGGTTACTAGAATATTAAAACTTTTTGCAGATTGTCATCAACGCTTAAATGTTTTATATAATTACTTTAATAGTTCAACAAAATTATTTTTTGTATCTAGCAAAATTGTTAGATACTTCAATAAAACTTCATAAAACAGTATAATTATATAAAAAGAATGTTTTTGCCGAAGTATTAAAAAATTTAGGTAGATACAGATCTGAAAATAATTTTATTGTAGCTAAATTTTTGGATACTTTAACAAAACAACTCTTTTCGTATGCATAACTATACGCGCAACTCAAGAAATAATCTTACAATTATATATGGTATGTAGCGTGCCCAAAAAAATTTGAGCAAATTTTCGACTACCTATCGTGAAAGCTTCAAGCTTTCCTTACAAAATCATTTTATAAAAATGTTCCTATGCTTTTTTGTTCCTAAGTTATTCGCGGATTAAGTAAAAAGGAACATTCTGACTTTATTGCTCGTAACTCCATTAAAAATCATCGTGAAGTAAAAATGTCATTTTTGCTTTAATGTTCAATAACTCGGTGAAAAAAAATCGTAGAACGATCAATAAAAAAACAAATTGAAGGTAAAGATTCACTCTTTTGAATGCTGTGAACCGCATTATTGTGCAATTTTTAATATACGCCACAGACCTTTGTAAAATTTGATCAAAATTTTCAAATTTGACGGGTATCCGCGTAGCTCCATGAAGGATCGATCAAATTGAAATATCGATTACCGATTTGAAAAGTAGAGATTTCAGCCTTTAAAATGCTTTTTCGATTTATTTTCTGCGACGATTTTTCACCGAGTTATGGTCTGAATATTGCAATTTTGAGCGTGTTCGAAAGTGTTCTCTATTTTTTGTTGAGTAATGTATATATATTGAAAATTATATTCAGATACGAAAAATTAGCTAAAATGGATAAACGACTAGCACACACTAGAACATCGCATATGTTTGTAATCAATAGATAGCAGAGACAGATATATCTGAATCATTTGTCAAATTTAGCAAGACTAGTCACTCTCTGTGACGTTCAGTCAAATATAATAGAATATAAAAATGGCTATGATTCATTCAGTTCTGATTTAGTTATGAGATCTATATTTTATTCCATATTGTTAGAATATTGCTGTTATAAATTCTACATACGACAGACAATTTCTTACAAAATACAAAAAGAAATGATATATTTTAACTGTAATATTTAAAATCATAGCAACATTTCTCTGAGAACGGAAAGAACAATTTTGTTAAAGCATTAAAAAATTTAGGTACATGCAAATCTAAAAATAATTTTGTTAGATCATAAAAATATTTATATGGGAAACTCAAATATGATGAGCAATGTTACAAAAAATTCTGACATTCTAGCAATCAATTTGAACATCTTGCATAATTATTTTAATAGTTCAACAAAATTATTTTCAGATCCTAAATTTGTAGATATATCAGCAAAACCGTTCTTTCCGTATAGCAAAATAACGTAATTTTCAATCGAATTCGTTTACGGAATTTTCTCGCGTTCTAAATCCGCGCGCGAATTATATTTCTGTGACGATACTGAAAAGGAAATGTTTTGTTAGGACGAAAATTCTGCGAAATTGCTTTCGCTTTTTTTTTTCTCATTCGGCGTTTTCGATGGCAGATAGAGGATGCTGGGCGGATAAAGTGTCATTCAACGCACCGTAAAAAGCCCACTCAAAAATCGTGAATTACTCGAGGTCCAATTTCTCGATTGAAGCCGTCATCATAACTATCCATAAATGGGTTATGTTTCTATTTTACGCTCAAATACCGATTGTCGGATTATTTCGGGCAAATTATAACAGCGCGTTCGACTCATTTTCCAGTACACGAAATGGAGTATGATTTCAGTAACGAAACCAAAGTAATTTAATTCGGAATATTAAAACTAGAGTACATAATTTATAAAAATGTAACGTACGAATAATAGTCTGAATTTACGATATCACACTTGATATCTGATTTAACGTGACACAGAATGGATCGTCGAGGCAATTGTCGGCGCGGTTTTACAGACCATGAGAATTGATTGTTCTTTTATCGACATGTCGACCTTGAAGGAAAGAATCATTTTCACTAGTCGTTCCATTCTCGCGTGCTGCAACACACCGTAGATCGATCGGCACGTAATGCGGCCAATGTACAATATTTTCCCGTTAAACCTTGCGACAATCGACCATTGTCAAAGTCAACATTTTTTACAATAACAAATTGCTAATGAGATGGAATAAGTTTCGACGATAACAATTTAAAATCTTTCTAAGTAAAACATTTTGTACTTACGTATCTCGCCACGATGACTAACGCGGTCGCGATAGTGAACAAAGTGGCCGTTAGCGAATATTTCAGTGGAAAGTCGGTGTTCTGATAACACGCCATTTCCTCCCTGTCGAGGCTCGATGAGAGAAACAAGACATTGATGCAGGACTGCGCGCCGGCAAGAATGTACATCAGGCACGCCTTGGACAGGTAACAGAGATATGTCGGCATCGAGATAGCGACCAGCGCAAGGACGCCGACGTATGAGTAATAAGAAGGGTACGGACATCGCAGACTCCACTTTAGTGTAGTGTTTTTCAGTGGCTCGATGTCGTCGATAATCGCGCAGTTAGCCTACGCAAAACAAATATAAAAATAATGTACAGCTAATATTATTTGCCTACTTCCCATACAGCATAAAATTTGCAGCATTGTTGCTGTAGGAGTTTAGAGAGACTAATAGCAAATTCGATTGGATGCACTCAGTGCGCACTGGTGCACATTAACCATCATATAAATTGTGCATTTTACTTTTATAGAAATTAAATCAGTGTACAAATAAGGCTTTAATCTTTAATATACACTATAGTACATCCAACTGAAAATTCGCAATAAGTTTTTGTCAAAAACTTAATATTTTAATCAAAAATTTGTATCAAAAAATTTGTATAAAAAATTTAAACGCTTTGAAGTATTAAAAGTATGAATGATAATACCCTAGCGAAAATAAAAATCGAAGAGTGCAAATTAGAATAGGGAAAATAGAAGCGTTTTAAGAGACGCTTCTCTTAAGTTTTATTATTTTAAATATACGGAAAGAACAATTTTGCTAAACATACTATAATACTTCGACAAAAATAATTATTACATTCTTTCCATGTAGAAATTTTGTTTACATTTCTACATCACTCTTCTTTTGTATTCGATTCTTCTCCGATCTTTTTTTCACCAGAGTAGATCTATTTTAATGTTGAAAATTATATAACAAATGCCGTTCATTAAATTTTTGCTGAAAAATGAGTTCTGAATTTCTGTAAAAAAAATTAATTTAGGATTTCTATAAGATAAGCGAATTATAAGAAAGAGAGAGAGAAAATTCAACCGTGCGAGCGGTCGAGCTGCAGCAACAAGTATTGAGCGAAAATAGTTGTTCAAATTCGTACCATATCTAACAGCAGAAAGATTATGAGGGAGAATATCATCAGAAGCGCGAGGGTACTCCTGAACCACGCCGCCCTAACCGCGCTGCCCAGGCAAGTAGCTCCGGCCAGCACGATGCCGAAAAGAGTTACGACCCCGGCGCCACCCCACGTGAACGGTCCCCAGGGTTGCATCTTCCAGACCGGGGCTGCGCACATCGTGACCAGGGGCCCGCCAAGAAGCGACAGGGGCGAGAAGGCCTCCTCGACGCTGTGAAACGCCGTCTCCACGTTCGGATCTTTGAACCGTAGTGTCAACCAAGAGGCGTGACCTTTCAGGTCAGTTCCACCACCTACAAGTGTTCGTACGCTGACGTCACATTAAGATTGAGTCGTTAATAAACCGGATGTCCATCGATTGACATCGGATTATTATTACACATCTTATTTTGTTAATTTGAATAATTTTGGCTGATTCTTATGTGTTTTCTGATGCTGATTCCGAAAATGGGGTTAGAATTTATCTTATGGGCTTCAATTTTTTGTAATCGATATCTTTTTTTAAAAATTTATATATTTTTCTAACAACAGCTCGCGTGTATAAAGTCTTTTTTTTAATTAAAATGAATAAAATAAAAATGTTTTAAGTTTTTTATAAAAAGTAAAAAATCATTAGATTAAATTCAAAGTTAAATTCAGAGTTAAATTCAAAAGCTACTCCTTATAAATCATTTATTTATTTCTAAGCAGAAGAGATAAATAAAGAAATTATTCTCCTCGCAAACGCGTCCGAAATACTATGAGCGCAAAAAATACTATAAAACACCCTATTAAATCGATTTAACATAAGAATTTAACACAAAACTTAACATTAAAATAGTGAAATTTTATCAATCAGTAAAGTCGGAAAATATCAAAATTTATAAAATTTTAAATGCATATTATTCAAAAATTCTTCCTTTTAAATTTGCAAACAAGCATTAAAAAATCTGATTTTAATGAATTTAAAGATTCCTGGAACGAGAAATTGTTTCAAGTGTAAAACAAATTGTCGGTCTTCGTCGATAGTTCTTGAATGTATTTAAAAATATTTAGACGGAATTTATCTAAAGAAACGATTATTTTCGCAATTTTAATGATATTTGTTATGTAATTGAATGTTAATCAATATAGTGACACGCTCTCGCTTGAGCGTCGATTATAATCAGTGCCTGTGTCAACAATTCGCAACGATGAGAGTAATATTTTGCAAACGCATGCGCGGATTTTTAAGCCGCTTACCGAATCGAAATAAAACAACGACCCACTCCCAATCTCTTCGAATTTAATTTTGCTGAGTTTAACGTTCCCCAACTCCAACTTAAAATGTCTGACTTTTTCATTTTTACCTCTGCTGTCAAGTTTCTTCCTCAGACGTTGTTGAAATTCCTCGGAATCCTCTCGAATATTGTCCACTTTGTCTTGCACATTCTCTATTATTCTTTGCGAGTTTTCCGCGTCCGCCAGTGACGCGAGGCTTTTCGTCACCGCTGGCTTAAATGGCTTCAAGGCTCTTACGATGAAGTAAGTGACGAGGCCAGCTTTTTGGAGTGCCTCTTCCCGATCTTCCCCGTACGCCGGCTCTACCTCGAATTCCCCATTTAGGAAACTCAGCGTCGAATTCGAGATGTGTACCCTCCTTAAAGCATTTGTTTATTTATGCACTCGGCATAAATTTTTTTCTTCTCGGCACAGATTTTTTTCAACGAATAAATACACGGAAAGAGTTCTTTTTACTAAAGTATTCAAATATTCAGCTAGTTGCAGATTTGAAAATAATTTCATTAAGGCTGCGGTCCACTTGACGCTACAAACGCTTCGAAGCATTCTTTGATTAATCAATTCGTAAAATTCTTTGTTCTAATTGGTCGCTCAAACGCTTCGAAACGTTTGTAGCGTCAAGTGGACCGCAGCCTAAACCATCAAAATAATTAATTAGAACGCTCAAGCTGATTACTTAAAATCTCAAAACTTATTGCAACATTGTTCGTTATGCTTCAACATCCTACATAATTATTTTAATACACTCTAATAACTAATTTGATACATTCTCATAATCTTAATACATTCATCATCTTAATACATTCAAAAAAAGACATAATTTTAGTAGTAATACTATTATATATACTATTATATTATAGACATAATTGAATTAAATCTTTTAGTTGCAATAACTATAAAGTAATTTACTAACAATATGCACTGAAAAAAATTAACTAAATCTTAAAACATATTTCTTTGAATAGTACTAATTGTAAGTAAAAATTTATTTACAGTAAATAAACTTAGTCAATAAAAAAATGATAAATCAAATTAAATCAAATGATAGTTAAATCATTAATGATTTTTGTATCAAATAAATATATGTTTATATCTAATAAATATTTACTTAGAACTATTCAAACAAATATTTATTAAAATTTAGTATTTTTTTCAGTGTGTACGTTAATTCTGCAGAAAATTTGTATAATTACCTTTATACCTTTATCCTCTTTATATATATTAGTTCAACAAAGTTATTTTTAGATCTGTATCTAACTAAATTTTTTAATATCTCGGCAAAATCGTTCTTTCCATGTAGAATATCGCATTATCCTTTCGCTCAATCACGTTAATATCGGATAAAATAATATTTCTTGTCATATTAGTAATTGAAAAGTTAAGATAAAACGGAATATACTTAGCATTAACTAGACTTTTTTAATTCGATTGCAATTAGTTCCCAAATTAAACGGTCTTACATATAAGAAGCTTTTCTTACCCCGCCCTACCGCTGCTCTCCATCTTGTTCGCCAGCTCGACATCCTTGCTGTAGACGTCGAACTGCCACTGTCTCTGTCCGAGAACCCCGGCGAGTACCGCACCCGTGTGAATGCCCACCCTCATGTCGACGGGGCTGTTCGTCGTTTGTTGAACATATTTAATCGCCTCCACCATGGACAGCCCCATATACACGCAGAGGACCGCATGGTCTGGCCTTTCGACAGGTGCGCCACTTATGCAGTAATAACAATCCCCTAAGATCTTGATGCGCATTTGCTCGTATCTATGAATAAGATTTCATACATATCGCATAACTCTCTACATCTAGTTTTATTTGATCGGAAGGAAATTCCTATACTGATTTGTCTTGTTGTGTGTGTACGAAAAAGAATATATATATATATCCATGACTATAAATAAAATATTATGCGACGACAGATGATGATCACGTAAGCTGCAAAGTACATTTGGCAGTGATAGAAAACCCCTGGTCCCCGGGGATATTGATTGCTGGTGTCCTCGAAGGACCTCCCCCTGCGGCAGAATGCACGAAGTCAAAGTAGTCGAAGACAAAATCGACAGGGAACTCACTTTCATGGAATCAATTTCGTCGTCGAACCGATCATACAATTTTCATTATCGCCAGCGAAAATGGAACGCGCAAGTTACGGAATTCTACCACTTTTGCCGTACCGTTTTACGATTAGCATTCGATAACACGCGAGGTCTCACTTAACATTCATATAACGAATAGAGACAAAAATAACTCGCTATTGCAGATGACAGATATTTAATCTTTTTTAAATATTCGACTATTCTAAATTCACCAATAATCTCAATTAACTTAATTGTTCAAATAATTACAGTATTAATTATATTAGTCGAATTGAACCGTTCAAATCAGAGATATTTACGATATCGATCTGCCAGAACTGCAGCGTTTCTCTTGTGCGTATTATTCTTCATTTGTAAAATCGAATAGAGCGAACGTAAAAACGCGCTAATGTAATGAGAAAAATGTAACTGTTAAATTTACTAGTATTAAAAATTCTTCTCTGCCTTAATGTAAAAGCTGCATTAAGCAGATAGCAATGTTAATGTATTTATTAATCTTCCGGAACTGACGCTAAAATCTATAACACGGTTACTGTGTGACACTGGGTCTGTGAAACCTACTTAATACAATTTAATTAAGAGCTAAATAATTTCACTAATTAATTTCGAGGGACCAAAATGGCATTACATAAAAATAATTTTTATTTAAAAAAATAAATATTAAGGTTATTTAATAACAATAATTCAAATTTGCAGATATAATATAGAGTAGAAAATGTAATTACACGGAAAGATTTTACTGAAAAATCTAAAATTTCGCTAGATATATATTTGAAAATAATTTTGTTGAATCATCAAAATAATTTTATTGAAAACTCAAACTTTGGTTGCTATCGGAATATCAAAATTTTTTGTAACATTACTTATTACTTTTTAATTTCCGACATAATTATTTTGATGGTCCAACAAAATTATTTTCAGATTTGTATTCAGCAAAATTTTAAATTTTTTCGAAATCTTTCTTTTCGCGTGAGTGAGTCCAACGTGAGACACCACCAATTCCAGAGGGGTCGACAGATCTACATCAGCTCTGGAGAATTAAAGTGAAAACTTTAAAAATATGTACCGTTCACTGAGCTGATCGAATCGCGCGAAGAGCTCGTTGAGTATCTTGACCAGCTCGCTGGCGCTGTAGGTCGACGAGATCGCGGTGAAGCCGACTATGTCAGCATAAAGTATCGACACGTTTTCGTGCCTAGACATGTAGATTTTCTTGAACTGCGTGTCGAGAGACGCGCCGAGGTCCTGCCGCATCTTGACCGCGACGTGTTCCGGCAGAACGCTCAGCAACAGTCGCTCCTGCTCCGCGCTCTGTTCTTCGATCATCAGCTGAA